GATCATTATTCACCTATGAATAAGGCAATGCAAGATTCCCACACCAGCTGTATCTGTGACTCTAAGCAAATAATTTGATCTGATGTCTTAAAATATGAATAAGGAGGCATCAGTTTTAGCCTCTAGCTCCCTCATTGTATGAGATTGTTAGTGAGGATGATAGGTGCCCCTAACATCTTGAGATTATTGCAAATAAAATCAACACATGACTGGGGAGCCATGCATGACGTGTTCAAAGTCAGCTATACAGAGCATGGCTTCAGTGCTGGAGCCAGGCTTGATTCTGTCACATCAACTGTGCTAATAGAACCTAAGCTACTAAGTCTAATATCTGGGTCATTTATCATTTTCTTCTAGAGGTCAGATTGCGTTTGACCTTAAAAAAACCTTTCAGATGAAATTGATACCCATGTTACCTTAATTAGAGGCTTAGCCTTGAAACTGAACTCTTGGAAGTGTTATTAATCAAATGACTTCTAATTAATCTGTAAAATTCTGGTCGTTGTATTCATAAGACGGATGAAAAATGTTTCTTTCCTCCTACATAGGGTGGGAGCTAGGAAGGGATGAACCAACCACAGGAAAGAGGTCAGCTGAAGCAACGAGGGCCAAGGTGTCTGCGAGTGACTGTCCCTGTTTAGGAAGCGAGACAGTGAGGCTATGGGGTCATTGAAAGAGGGTTGTCTACATGGGTATTTGGGATGAAAATAGTGATATTATCTACTTTCACACTCACTTAGTAACCTTCAGATAATGAACTGGCTTTTCCTCCTGGTTCAGTATCTGAAATGAAGGTGCTCTGGATAGAACATATTACTTGCTTGTCTAATCAACTCATTCATTCATTCATTCATGCATTCAACAAATCACTTTTCTGTGCTCTGAGGGCATACCAGTGACAAACACAAACCCAAATCTCAGTCTCCAGAGATCATATATCCTGGCTACAGAAGACAATGACAGCAAAGCACATAGTGTGTCAGGAGGTGGCACCTGTTACAGTAAAAGCCTAACTCAGGGAGGGATGGCGAATGTACCTGTGTGAACTGGTAATTTAATGGCGTCAGGAGGGTTTCACTGACAAGCTAAATGGAAGAAGTGAAGGGAAGAGGCCCTGGAGGTCCACGGGAAGCCCTAGGACAAGGCCCTGCACACTGTCGCACGCATGGTGCGTATGAGGAAGGCCAGAGTGTGGGGCCAGGAGCCAGGAGCAAAGCAGAGGAGGATTGTGACTTGGGCCTTCTCATGGCTGGCAAAGGATATTCCTCCCCTTGGGAATATGGGGTTTAGGAATTTGGTGTCTGGTTTACACTTCGGCCTCCTCTGAGCTTGGCTAGAGGGAGTCCATTTCTTATGTGAATGAACCATTCTTGGAGTTCGTGGCACATTTGACTTGCTGCTCTGGAAATGTTGAAAATCTGACTTAGAAACTTGGGGACTTCGTCCTTCATGAAGGTGTTCTCTGGGGGATCAGCAAGGACCCCAACCACTGTCATCAGCATGTATTGTTCGTAGATGTTTGAGATGGGAGCTCTGCACCACACATGGAAGGCATCATAAGTACTCATTGTGTTAGGAACACATGGAGACATGGGTTTCACAAGAGATGTCGGGGACAGGAATTGTCAGTGATAAAGCTCGTGGGAGCAGTTGTGGACTTTGCTGAGATCTGGGCTTCAGTCACGGGATTGGGCTGTGCTAGCTATGGAAACTGAAGAAAGTTACGTAAGTTATCTGGGAATTTGTCTCCTCCATTACGAAGAGGATGGCAGCAAGAATTAAATAAACCAAAAAGAGTGGCTAAAAGGAATACAGGAAATATTGTGCCTGATGACAGGGCTCTGGGGCTCAGACTCATTTACTCCTTCTCGTCCCCCACATTACTCAAGTTCTTCTTTGCACTGCATGATTCAGAATTGTTGCCCACATCGAATCGTCTTGAGATCTTAATTAATCGTCAATTTTGGCACCACAAGGTTCCAACAAAGCTCTTGAACACGGGAGCCCAGGTTGCTGCATGGAGGCCCACCCAATCAGCAGTCCCTTTCTGTTATTATCTAGGTCCCCCCAACTCCTTCAAGCTGGGGTGGTAGAACGAAATGCTACATATACAACACTGAACACAGCCCATGGCCAGTGATCTTCCCTGAATGTCAATTTTTAGAATTTTTTCCCTGTACGTTTTGGAAAACTTTTATGGGAATGTATGCATGACTTCCTTAATGCTCTGAAAAGGTAAAACTAATCTATGTGCGTGAGAGTGTTTTGTTTATTGACAACAATGGTGAGTTAAGAGGGGTTTCTATCCTTGGGTCTGAATGTGAATTGGGGGTTGTGGTGGCTAGTTTTCTGTGTCAACAGTTATTCAGCTGAAAACTGATTTGAGTGATGCTCTTAAAGCATTTTGTAGATGTGGTTAGCATCTGCAATCGTTGAGTCTAGGTGAAGGAGGAACTCCTCAATAATGTGGGTGGGCCTCATCCAATCAGTTGCATGGCCTTAAATGCAAAACTGAGGCTTCTTTGAGAAAGAAGGAATTCTTCTTCCAGATTGCAGCATCAGCTCCAGATCCAGTTTCTAGACTGAGAGCCTGCGCTTCAAATTTTGCATTTGGCAGTCTTTATGAGGCAGTCCTTGAAATAAATCTGAATGTATGTATATATGCACATGTAAATTACTTCTGTTAGTTCTGGTTCTGTTTCTTTGAAGAATCCTGACTGATAACCCTGAGGCTGAGTTGCTGTTCTTTTTCTTTTATCAATAATTTTTTTTCTAGTGCTGAGGAGCCTCAAACATGGTGGGCAAGTGCTCTACCATGGAGCTACATCCCAGTTCTGTCAGCAATTCTTTGTAATGCTTCATCTGCATGTTATGATTTTACTGAAATGAAGCTTGAACAGCTCCAAGTTGCACAGTCCATTTCTTTCAGCTTCTGAAAGTTTCTTTGAGGTCCCACCTGACTGCAGGGTGGGGGAATTCACCCCTATACTGTCAAGGCCAAACCTCTGAGGTTCGCAGGCATATCAGCTGGGTTCTAGCTGGACAACAGAATAAGCACAAATGCCAGGTAGATAATTTGTCTCTAAAAATACAGATGAGTCAAAAGGCCACAGAGTTGAAACTGGTTGGCTTGCTACTAGCTAGGTATAAATCCAGAGTCTAAGTAGGATACAAAAACTCTGTTGTCTAAGGGAAAATGTATTTGTGCCACGATGGCTGCAGTGCAATTTCTAGAATGAATGCACAAGAGGACAAATTACCTCAAGAAGAGATATTACAGAGAGTATAAATCTGCTTTCATTTTTGCTAGTCTGTCTTTAATGGTATGGAAATAAACCCCTGGTGAGAAGTACACTAAAAGCGATGACATCACCTGAATTTAGTGCCACTGTCTAAGCTCAAATTCTGAGTGGGCTCCAACTTTCATTTTCTTGTCCCTGAGTTAATTTTTTTCACACTTTATTCCTTTTCTTCATGGCAAAGCCTTCCTTGAAGCACTTTCAAAATAATTTCACAAAAATCTTTAATTCCATTTCTGATTTACCATTTTCTTGCTGTCAATCTGCTTTTAACCCCCTACAAATTTGGCTATCAGATACTAACAAATGGCAAGGGAAAATTCTGTTTCTAGAAGAGCAATCCACCAGGACTATAAACCAGCAATAACCTGCTAAGAACTAGCTTCTTTTGGAGAGACAGGTTTAGGTACCTAATGAGACCAGGACTTCTAAGGGGTCTTTAGTGGCTTTTCACATGGTGGCAACTTACAACTGTCCGACTGAGCAAAGCAAGCTCTGAAGCCCAAAGAGCTATGGAAAAACAAAACAGTCACCTGGGAAACCCTCTGCCCTCCACATCACTGGAACTCTCCACTTTTGTACAATTGTTTCCTAATTCTCACTGTGTTTTACCTTTGCCTATCTGTGCAATCTTCCATTGGCTTCCCTCGTCTTTTTGTATATTTTTAATTTTTTCAATCATTTCTTTAATTTGCCTTCCATCCATTCCTGATGCAAATTTCCTGTATTTATTTATCCTCTCCTTCTCTTTCCATCTGAACCTCTTCTTCTTCTTCACCTATTCTTTGAATTTCTTTTCCCTAGTCTTAATTCTCCCTCTCCCCAGGGTTTGTTGTGGCTTTGGGGTTGAAAATCACCCTGTGACTGACATTTTCTCCCTGAAAGGAAAGGGATTTGTGGCTGTGGAAAACTCACTACAAAGAGCCAACACATTCCATTTAAAACAAATTCTTTCCATTCTTCCATGGTGCTCTTGCTTGGGATTAGAGATGGGCTGCTCACTGCCTCTCACAATGATGAAGCATGCCAGGCCTGACTTCTCAGCCCTTGGAATCACATGGCAAGGTATAGCTGAGCTGCTGTGTTTACACTGATTGCTAGAATTTTAAAATTGCCCATCAGGGGAAAAAGCTCATTCAAGTCTGCCTGGAAAAAAAGCAGTGCTATTCTACAGCATGACAACCAGGTCCACTCTATTCAGCCCATTCATTCTCACACACCCCTTCATTTTTCTTTTTTTTTTTATAGCCTAAAACAAAAGCACAAAAATGGGCTCCTGAGAGAAGGATGCAAAGCTCTGTCCAGGTTCCCTGGGACAAAGGCTGCTGGGACTGTTCAAAAGACACCCTCACTCAAGCAGGTCTCTCTGGCCTACTTGGTCAGCAGTAAGGCCTTCACGAGGAACAGCAAAATAGGTCGATTCCTTAGGACCATAATATTTTGACATCAAGCCTTAGAAAATATCAGATGGCCATGAAAACACCAGACATATCTGACTTGGAGATAGGACTTTAGCTTTTTGCAACACTTAAGACTGAACTCCACAATTTTTAACAATTTTTTGAAATCATTTCTTTTTTCTAAGTTTGCTTTACCTTTCTGGTTTCTTGAGGTGCAGAGTGCATACCTTCATGATCAAGTGCTCAGAGTAGTTCTCTGCCATGCAGCAGGATCAGCAGAGTCATCATTACCAAAGGATACTTGTGGTCAAAACCATACCACATCCTGAAGAGCCGAGCACTCTCTGTTTTTGTCACGTTCTTATCCGCTTTGTTTGCTTCCTGGAGAGAGACGATAAAAAAAAAGGTATTGGATAAAGAGTCAAACACATTTTAATATGAAAATACATGTCAAACCAAATTCAATTTAACCACAGGAAAAAGAAAACCTTTCTAAGTATAGGCATTTTTACCTAACGATGAAGCAGGTACCAAGAGAATTAGCTCACAGATCTTACGCATGGATGAGATTACTCTGGCACAATTCAACATTTACTCTTAATAATCCTAATTTTATTAAATGACTAAAAATGCTACATTTTAGACATCAATAAAAATGGTATTTTCATCAGATTTTTATTGTGGGAGTTTTGCAGTTTACTTTGGTCAACTGTGGTGGCATTTATTTATGGATTACCAAAAGGCCAATGCTAAAGAAATGCCAACAGTCTAAAAATTGTTACACTAGTTTTTATCCATTTGCTTTTGGGTAGATCACTATGGAAGGTTGTGGTTACTTTTTGACATCTTCCTGCTTAAATTATGGAGGGTTTTAAAGAGGTGATCCTGATAAGAAGTCTGTAACAACTGAATATGTTTGTCTCTTCCCCACCTCACAAAGGCCACTAAGGGAGGGACCAGGAAAAGAAATTAAAAGGGATGGAGAAAGACAAAGTGTTTGATGTCATTTACGTGAAAGTGGATGATGAAAATGTGGGAAAGAGGAAGGAAGGCAGGTGAAAAGGTTTTGTGATCAAAAATATTTGCAGTGTGGTAAGAACCATGTCGGGCAACATTTTTACTTCTGTGTATTTCATTTTGATGGATTTGGAGTTCCAATCAACTCCGATTGTTAGTATCTCCATGATTAAAAGCATTTATAGCTTACTGTTGACTTCAGTTTTTTTGGGCCCACTGTTTTCATCCCCAAACTATACCATGGGTTGGCAGACCAGTGATAAGGAGGCCCGTCTCCTGGGGTGGGATCATGCACAGAAGACAATGGAAACCCATTAGCTGCACTGCAGCCAGCCCTTAGAGAAGCCTGGGCTCATTTGCCTTCATGTTATTTTACTTTCTTTTGCCCTTTCCCAGGCAGTTGCATTGTGGGTTGATGATAAACAGCTGGACAGGAAGTGCTGCATTCTACCCTGTACAACATGTGTACCAGCAGAGGCTGTCGTTCAGTTCCATCCCCTACAAATGAAACAGGAATTCAAGAAAGGCAAATGTGACCGATTTTTAGTGAACAATTTATTCTCTGGCTAAAGTGGTTAAAACAGAGACGTACAATGAAATTAAAATCAAAGCTTTTCATTGCCTTTGTCATTGGTTGTTTTAAGATCTCTGTTTTTTCAAACTTTGTACGGTTCCCCTAGTATGCCACCATTCATGTGACACTGATGGAAATTCTATGCCAGAGCACTCAGGAAAAGATCAGTTGGACAGTGTTCAACAGGTTTCTTATAAAGTCGAGGTATCTCAGTCTTTGAATTTGTAGTTGTTGTAAATCTTCAAGAGGAAAGTGCTTCTCAAACTTACTTGGTCATAGAACCTACTTCCCATTCCCAGTTCCCACACGGGACACTGATTGTGTCTCTGTGATGTTAGAGCTCCACAGATCTCGTTTCCTCAGATGAAGTGCCATGCCCTGGTGTCTAGAGTGAGAATTTATATTCATATTTCTTCCCAAAGGAAATCAAGCTGTCTGCTTCGATTTCCATTCTTCCCTGCACCTTTTTCTAGCTATTTCTACTCCAACAAAGGTGTCAGATTTGCAAAATCACTGCTGCACATAGTGTTTTCTTCCTCATCTTACAAAATCTGCAGGTTGGTTATGAGCCACCACCCCGCAACAGCACCTTAGGGTTCAGCTGGCAGAGCAAGACTGCTCAAACGGAGCTGAACTAGTTGGAACAAAAAAACAGCTCTGGCCAACTGTGGGGACAGTCCTCTTCCTTTTTTTTTTTCCCCCTGCCCTGGCCCTTTTCTCTAAGAACAATAAGGATTTACAGAGTTTTATATAGCACAACAGGCACAGGTGCTTTTTGATTACTGATAATATCTATTGTTGACAAGACAGTCATTGTATAAAACTGATAAAAAGGAACCTCAGAAAACTCCTAGGTGAGGTAGTGAGCTTTCCTGACATTCAGGGGCCCAGCCTTCCAGCACCCACCCTGCAGCAACCCAACTGAGTGACTGCAATAGTGACAGTCCCCAGCTACTGAACGCTCATTAACTACTAGGCAGCATGCTAACCACATTATCTGGTCATTAATTTCTTCAGTCATAATTTTTCACTTCTCACCATCATCCATCAAAGTAGGTCGTGTTACATGGATTTTGCACATGAGGAACTAGAGAGGTCTAGAGAAGGGAAGGATCGAGTTCAAAGTCATCAGCTAGCACAAACAGCTGGGATTTGAGTTCCACTGCTGTACTCCAACAACACAATGGGCTTTCTGATCTGTTTTTAAGCTTTGGAAAACGTAGGCATTCTGAACTGGGTTACTTAGCCTCATTGGGCTGCAGCTTCCCTGTCTGTCAAATGAATTGAGGAAATTGGACTATTTGGTCTCTATGGTCCTAAAATCATATGGCAAACACTGTATTTTTATTGATGACAACAGCAATAGCAGCTAACACTTCTTGAATTTGTACCAAATGCCAAGCACTATTAGTTTTGTACATTAACTCTTTAGATTCTCATAAGAATTTGCTAAAGTATGTTCTGTTATTTTCATTCTATGGATGAGGAGACCAAGGCAACTGGGGGAGGCAGAGGAGACCAAGGCAACTGGGGGAACTTGTAGTTCCAAGATTTTGCTCATCTAGCTGGAGCCCCAAGGTGTAAGTGGGGAGCAATCCAGGGCAAAAGGGATGTCTGAACAGGAACGTGAGGCCAGACACCAAGGTGCTCATGGAGACTGAAATGGATGGAGCAGCCACATTTACCCCAAGACACCATAAAAATGCAGAGCTCCCCCTGGCTTGCTGGTGGCTTTGAAAGAATCCCCTCAGAAGCTTAACTTCAGTGTTGGGAATTCCTTAGATTCCTAGACATTCATTTCAAGAATCTTCTAAGGTCTCAGGGATCTTCCCTAGCTGTATTTCCCCTTTCCCTCTCTTTTTTATTTTATTTCCTGATGGGTGTATATAGTAACTTACAACACTCCCCAAAGGGCATCTGCTCTGTTTCTTGCAGAATTTTCAGGGACCACAGGTCCCAGGAACTCAGGAGGAGGAGATAAGAAGACCATGGTCTGAGGCCTGCCTAGGAAAAAATGTGAGCCCCTATCTGAAACACAAAGTAAAAATGAAAGGATTGCAAGTGTGGCTCAAGATGTAGAGTGCTTGCTTAGCATGTGCAAAGCCCCAGGTTCAATCCCCAGTCCTGAAACTTCCAGGTATATAGATTGCCAGCTGAAGGCGTCATACACATTAGGTAGCATTTTGGAAAAAAATTAGCATATGTAATCTTTTTTTAATAAAACTTTATTTTACATGGGTAACTGGAGAGATCAGTCATTTCGCTACTTTGTAGAGAAATACACAGGGTTCCAAGTAGAACAGAGCATTTGGGGAATGTGTTTCCCCAGGTGGGGGAAATTCCACTGATGACCCAGCATTGACTTTTCAGCTGATCCTAGTTAAAATCTTCAGCCTCTATCCTAAATATCTGTTGGCCCAGTTCTGGATCCATTCATTTATTTCTCTGAAGTTATTGATGACTTAATAACTTGGTTATGAAAGACCATCAATAAATGAGCAGAAATAAATGAGTTAGTTCAGTGTGTGTTCTGCTTGTGCACTGGGGGTTGAAGATAAATGTGCCAAGGGAAGGCCAGCTTTTACAGTCACCCTGGCACTGGACAGGTATCTGATGAGGCAGCACAGAGGGCATGCCCATGGGAGGGTCCAATGGGCAGAGGACAGCAGGTGGCATCAATCTATCTGGATTATTCTGAAGTAGAGAGTAGCTCACACTTCAATGACAATGGATGTGAGCAGTCGTCAGAAGTAGGATCTGGAATGCAGTGTTATTTTTTTTTTTTAACCAGCAATATTTCTTCTCTTACAAGTTCTTTTATTTCAGAGGAGAAGTTCTGTGCATGTTGGACAAACAGGGTGCAGAAAGAAGAGACCATTTAATAATGGAGCACTGGCCAGTCCTGAACCTCAAATTTCACAGGTGTAAATGGGAACCTGAGATTTAAGTGTGGTGAATTTCAACTTTTATTTGCCTTAACACTTCTAAGAAGCAGAAGGTTTGATATCTATATCTATATCTATATATATCATCATTGCATATATATATATGTAATTTATATTTCCTTATTATCTTTATTTCTGGGAACACTTAAAAATCATGGGACAATTCAATATCTTTCTTTTTTCACCTCAAACAAGGGAATAGACCAGGTATTGGGAAATGACTGGGCATAGTAGGAAGCGGATAGTTTTCTTTTTAGTGACCACCGTCATGCTTAGAATCACCAGACAGGGGAAAAATATGATGGTACTCTTTGTTTTGGGGCTTATTTGAACCCCTGAGAGAAAACAAAAGGCTCTGGCCAGAAGTCTGTGAAAACTAGATGCTGAAGCAAAAAGGGATTGTTTATTGCATTAATTTTAATGAGAAAGAACTGAGGAAGTGTAAACATTCCTCTGTCAATACTCAAATATGGGGCCTCTGTCAAGTGAACTGTGAACTCTGCTCTGGAATAATCACACATGGTTGTTCATCATTTCAAGGTGATTCAATAGGTTAAGTGAGGGAGAGAGGACTTCCCTTTTGATTTCTCAAGATTTTATATTCAATATTAATGTCAGCGGAAGTTGGGTGGAATGATAACAAAGACAAATCATTCTATAACAAATCTGTAACGCTCATACGGGTTCCCGAGCACTTTTTCAGGCAGGACATGTGAATGGAATTTGTTGGCAATACTTTTGCCTTACCTTCTTCCTCCAGTATGGAGTGTATTTGTGCAGTAATTTCAAGTTCATTGCCTTGGTTTTCCAACTGATAAGGAGAGAAACACATTCTGTGCCCCTAC